ACTTGTTCCTTTGCAGCCTACGCATGCTGACGCAGCTACCCACCTGAACTAAAAGTGGCTTGGTTGACTTCCATTCAGTGAATTTGCATAATTAATAATATAGACAGATTTTCTCCACTTCTCTCAGCAGTGCTGAAAGGGATAATCTAGATCATGTTCTTTCTAGCAATTGCTGCTAGCAATAAAAGGAACATAAAATGGAGCTGAACTCCAAGTTAGTTTAGACCTGTTTATAAAAACACAAACAGTGCAGAAACAAAAACACATTTTCCATTTAAAGTGGTAATTTTCTAGTTTTCACATCACTCAGAGGTGTCCAGTGTTCTGATGGAACTGAAGGCCTGTTTTCATTATAGGCTTTTCCTATGGTTTGAGCCTTCACACTTCAAGCATTTCTTGCTCTCTAGGTTGGTGTGAAGCATAATGTCTCTCCACGATGGCAGATAATTTATTTCCCCAATTTGAAATGTAGCTTGTACATGTTATCATAAATCTCTCTCCAGTCTAAATAAAATTACAGTCACATTCTAACTGGAAGCACAAATTACAGCAAATATTTTTTAAACCTCAGCCATTAACAAACGAAAACGATCTGATTTTGTTTTTCCGTGTTTAAGATTCAGTTGCTGTACTGCTGGAGGATAGAAAAGAGCAACGGATGTTATATTAATTAACCATGTAAGTAACGAGCCCTGCACAATAAAGAACATATTGCCTGCAGGCAACCCACAAGCGTTCATTTCACAAGTGTCTGCCCCCCTTTTTAGTCAAATTAAAATATCACCCACGACATCATTTCAGTTGCCTTTTTCTGCCTTCCTATGAACAAGGTGTGAGCTAACAGAACTGTGGGCTCATATTACTGGCAAAGCAGTAATAGACCTTCTCATGCAGTAACCTACGCCTCTTATCCTGAAAGGGAAGAATAAAGAAGTGTGTGTTGGAATGTGGGGGAGCTGTTGTCAGTCAAAACAGCTCTGACACTATAGAAAATATTTGGAAACTCCCTTTAGCTTTCCTCTTTGCTCTGATGTGCTCAGAAATGGGACAATGAGAAAGAGCTTCAGGCTCATGGACAGCTCTTAGACCTGAAGCCAATGTTCACGGAGTCTGACAGCAAGTTGGATACCATCAGATAGGGCCATTATATCTGAGAATCGATTGCACACGAAGGTGAAAAGAATGCGATATCACAAACACTTTGAGGGCCAAAATGAAGTGTAATGTTATTTACCAAGTGGCAGATACAAAATGGAGTAAAAACTCCATAAATACCATCGTATTAATATTAAAAGAGGTTTTATTTTTTTAATATTACATTTATTGCGTGAGCCAAGAACAAAGACTGGAACAAATGGTGTTGTACTGTATACACAGTATTTTAATAACAAATTCCTTTTTGCCTCCTATTACCATCAAAGCACTTCTTAATGCCTATCGATGTTATCGAGTGTGGACTTGCTGTTTATGTAATATTTCAGAGCTTAAAGCTTTTTGCTGTATTCTGAAAATACAAAACAATATAGAAGAAACAAATGAATACAGTGAATGCACACAAAATACCTTAAAGATACATACATTGAGAATATGACACCACAAGTATCTAATTAGGATTGTGTTCTCTGTTGTGGTGTAAGTCTGATACCATTAGCTGGAGCTCAGCACAGAACTGTAGTGCACAGCTATATTATAGCGATTGCTCAAATACAGGTGTAAAAGGCTGGCTGTTAACCAGCTGTTGCAAAGAGAAACCAGATAAACATAATTTTACCTTACAAGTCCAACTTATACACCATTTTGTCAACAGGAGAAAGTTAATTCTCGTAGATACAATGACTGCTCTGGTCTGTCTCAGCCCTCTGTGTTCTTGCGGTACTGAAACTGAAGTTCTCATACACTTTGTTATTAAACACTATAGGACTGTTGTTGTCATTGGCTCTCAGTCTGGCACCTGCAGAGACAGACAAAAAAACAAAACAAAAAATAAAATTATTATCATTAGTGAATTAAGTATGGTAGACCTGCACCACGTTATTTTGAATTTTGCTATGGAGTTACCATATTAAAACAGAACACTTGCTTCTCTTTGACATTTCTCCTGGTTTCACTGTGCTTTAGAATGCTTTTCTGTAATTTTTAGTGTGGCAGACCTTTATGTGAATATTTCTACCGATATTAAAATGTGACAAAGTAACTCATAACTCTTAAATAAAATGAAGGTCAGATAAACTATTTATCTACTACTTACTATTAACTATTTATATTTAGCTATATCACTATAAACCCAAAACAATAAGCTTTTATCAGTTCTATAGATGAAGTGATTTAATTATTAGTAATTGTGAGTATACTGTATGTGGAAAAATGTTACCTCTGTTATTCAGAAGCAGCAGGTGTCTGATAAACATCTTTGTAAGTAGGCATATAATGCAGAGAGCTTATCTTTATTATCACATCCTGCCAGTTTGGGACATTTTGAAACCAAGACCAAAGTTTTTTTGTTGAGGATGACAGAAATACTTTAGATTGCGATAAAGATTTGTTTTACTCCTATGCTGAGAGTTAGGCTTATAGTTTTGGATTGAATAGATATTTCACCATGCAAGTCCTTTAAAGTTTGTGCTACACGAACCACTGAACACAGAAAGAGTTTCCTTTAGCTGATTATGTTACCTCGATAAACATAGATGTAGTATTTTGTTAAGTCTGGGCTGTATTTCTTCAGGATCACAGAGGTGAAATGACTGATCGGGACTCATGGCAGAGTGTGTGAAATCAGAACACATACAGGTAACCATCATTTCATTTACAGGTCACAGATGCAATATAGCATCACTCATGAATAATTAATTTAGAAGATCTGATCTGTGCTTTTTTAAACATTTATTTGAGGAACCACATTCATTGATGTGCAAGCAATTTATTTTTTGAGTCCATAGTCTTAAATAATTACAATTATAAAGATGTCAGATCAAATCAATTTTATATATTAATACTTGCTTACCCTCTATATAAAGTCATGTTTTAAATGTCACTCAATCTCTGTGTTTTCAGGTTGCTGGTGTAATTGCAGGAGAACCTAAAGACCAGTTAAATGTTCCTTCTGTCCTCTGACTTATTCAGCAGCGCCATCTAGTGGGGTCTGAAAATAACAACCCAATGTGCAAGATTTTCCTTGCTCAAGAAAAAAAAATCTGTCCTGTTCTTTATCTTATTTCCACGGATTGTTCCTGTGCCAGGAAGAACTGCTTTTTAACTGACATTATGTACTGTAAGCTAAAGGGAAAAGCTGGTCACTGATATGTACATTTGACACAGGCTCTGTTAAACTGTTAAAAGCACAGTAGTGATAAAATTATGTAATTAAAGTTGTGATTTGTAAATTCTACATAATCCGTTTTCTCAATTATTTGTTTGCCTCCCCTTTAATTATTTTTCACATATCATTGGTGTGGCAATGTTATTACCCAATACTGATTTGACTAACGTTTTTCATAACTCATTACATAAAGGGGAAAAATGATCAAAACTGACATTAAGAATTCCATCGCAAATAACAATTCTGTCCACGCTGTTTAACATATTTCAGATTACAGGAGCTCAGCATCTTCCAATACAATAACAGCAGTTGTCAGGTTCTTGCGTACAAACACCTCCTGTCTACATAACCTTATAAAACGATGTTCAGTGCCAATCAGGGGCGTAGCCACGGCTGGGTCTGGGTGGCCCAGACCCTCCCTGATTGTTCCTAGGCCTACCCAATCAGTCCAAAGTAATTTAAGATTCCCCCCCTCCCCCCTTGTTTGCGTTACATGATTTGCTTTTTAATGTTACGTGCTTGATTTTTTTCATCTTATGTGATTTGCAATTGGCTCGCTGTATCTTTTGTGACCGAGAAGAAAATTATGTAAATACCGTGGGGCGGTGCATGTGTAGCCGTAGCCTAATTAGCTATCGTTGTGGTCAGACCCTCTTAGAGCTATCTAGCGCCAGGTTTTTGGTTTATTAGCCAAGTTGGCAAAACAAATGCATATATTTACGTTTTCCAAAAAGCCGCCTGTAGATGACCAGACCAGTCCCGAAACAAATGAGACACATGAGATGCTACAGGCGTCTTGGGTTTTAAGGAGTACAGCCTGACTTCCCGAATAGTTTCTGTCAGTGCACGCGTTTGCTTGTAGCAGCTCGATACATGCTCGACCTACAAGTTTTGGAATGCATGAATAACATTAAGATATTATATTGACGGATAGATGTGAGTGTGCATTTTACATATAACTATTCAGATCGCCTCTAAATGCCCTGCAGTATTTTAAGTGGACGACGTTTACAGAGCTAAAATACATCCAAAGTATGTATTTGACGCTTTTATTAGCAATTAAAGGTACGGTGAATTGGTTAGCACTGTAATGCAACTATAACAATTCAGTGTTAAGTCTTGTGGAAAGTCACGAATTTCCAAATTAGGTGTCTTTGGGCATCGAAAATAGAATACTAATGTCGTGGGTTTCATACAAGTTTAAAAGCATCATGAAGGATCAAATAAGATCTTCAGAACTTAATATTTGAATACCTTCGCAGTTTTTGTTCTCATGGCGCCTCACTCGATATTACCCTTGGGGCGATGCATTTACTCCAACCTCTGAAACCCATACGTGCACGTTCTTCTGGTACAGCATGTTACGCTCAATCCGCTGAATATTTATAGTCAAGGTAAAAGCTCCGTGAAGTTGCCCCCCTACAGACAGCACAAGCGATGAAACCCACCTCATTTCGTTAGTGCTACGTTTGTACCGGTTCGTGCTGTTGAAAGTAATAACGCCTTGTTTTTCCGGTGATCACGTTACTATGCACGGTGACTTTTTTGACCTCCAGTGACCCCGTCTGCCGAGTTCAAGCGCTCTGTTACAGTTCAGCTCGTACCCTTAACATTGTAAAGACAATCAATATCCATAAACATATGAGCCTCCTTAGATGTGAATAATACTAAGACATGTTGTAATGTATGTAAAATCACCGTGATTGTAAGATCTGTGTTTTTTATTTTCTAAGGCACGTTTTCCTTGTCTTTCCCTACCGTGACACGCTGTTGCCAAACGCATAACTGTGGGATACCATCGCGACAAGACCTCCGGAGCATGTCATGATAGGGACCCCATGTATAAGGCGTGTATATCGTGGCAGTGTATATCACGACTGGCGCCTTGCTTCCATGCCATCCTGGCACCGCTGTCGCAACAAAGGTCTCATATCAGGCATATCGCGATATGCAGGCTCCATGTCGCAACATGGGCGTGACAGGTTTTGGTCATATCGCGATATATGGGCTCCATGTCGCGACATGGGGGGGTGGGCGTTTTGGCTGGGCGGGTCATATCGCGATATAGGGTCTTCCATGTCGCGACATGGGCGTGACAGGTTTTGGTCATATCGCGATATATGGGCTCCATGTCGCGACATGGGGGGTGGGCGTTTTGGCTGGGCGGGTCATATCGCGATATAGGGTCTTTCATGTCACGACATGGGGGCGGGATATCGCGGTATGCGGCTTTATGTCGCGAGATGGGGGTGGGGCGTTTTGTCGGGGTACACCATATCGCGATATATATGGACTTAATGTCACGACAGTGGCGCCACGCCAGTCGCGATGGGTATCACAATGTGATCGTGATGAGCGCACCTATCGGAGTCGTGAACGCCCTGTGGATGCCATGACATTCTTTGTCTGCTATTCAGTTTTGACCTCAGTGCGAGTTCTCTTAGATTGATTAGTAACTGGAAACCAATGGATGTGTTACTGTATATCCAGCGCGCTCATACAGCACACATGGTTAACCGGGGCTACAGTATTTGGTCCAGGAAGAACATCCATCACCTGTGTATCTACATGTTCTCGGAACTTCCGCTGTGGCGCTTTATCCAATCAGAGTGTCGATTCTCACTCTTCACCCAATCGCGGCCCGAGCTGTTCGGGGGTTTAGCCAATCACGGGTCTGAGAGCTGTTCAAGCCAGCAGCGCCAGGTGGATCGGCTTGGTTACTGTTAATGAGAAGCTGTTTTAAAAATGCTTTACTTATTTGCAAAATAACTACATCGGCTTATTTTTTTAACTTCTTTATTGATTCACAATGCTCCGTACTCTTCGAAATAACTACATTTTTATTTGCATTATAACCGTCTCCGCTGCTTTCTGTAATGAATACAGTACATGGTATTTGAGTAATTGTAATCGTATATTTAGGGTAGGGGAAACACCTTCTGCTCTGTACTTCAAAAGTAGAAATTTAAAGTCTATGATCATTATATTATTATGCTCGTGCTTTCAATTTTGTTTTTTATTGTTAAATTATACCGATCTTGAAACTAATACCTAAAAATTTTGCACCAGCGGTAATTTGGAAACTGGTGTCTCTTCACCAATGAAAGGAGTACACAAGCAATACATTTTCGAGAACGGTTAAAAATTAAAAGAAAACACCAAACCCAAAGAACAAACATAGTAACTCCTCCCTAATTGTAAGACTGTTTATTCGTGTAAAGTCTGGGGTCAACTGATCAAAAGATCGCAACCGAAAGATCTCAGGACAAGAAGGCGCTATATTGAAATATATTGAAACATCCACCTCTTGGTAAGAACATGCAATTATTTGCTAGTGTTCGGTTTTTGAGATTACACCCGCAACTCTTCTGATTAGGGTATGTGACATTCGTGACAAATTTAATTTTCCTGCTCACAGAAACGCACAGAAGACACTGATATTAATTGCAAAATCCAGCGCCGCCCCCACCCGGGCAAACACAGGAACACAATTGCAGAAATGTTACTCACTTTCGCACTGGTAACAGACGCTTGAACTCGGCAGACGGGGGCACTGGAGGCGCTATATCTCGGGAACGAAAGCAGCACAAACCGGCACAAACGCAGCACTAACGAATGAGGGGGGTTTCATCGTTTGTGCCGTCTGTAGGGGGGGCAACTTCACGGAGCTCAAGGTAAACCCTGCATGGTATTTTAAATACAATATTTAGGACGGATTTTGAATCTTGCGTTTTGCGTTGTGTTAATTGTGTTTTGCAATAAAATATTAATTTCAGAGAAACTCGTAAAACTACTGAACAATCTAAAAGCAGGCATACGAAATAATTAGAACTGTTACAAGCAACAAGTGAAAATGAGCTCTTACAGCTTTTCTTTAGCTAAAGACAAAGTCCTCATACGAGAGACCTTTGCAAACTAGCTGGCATTTGAACGGGAAATGGCCGACTCTAGACGAGATTATCGCCATATTTTCAATTCCAAACCCCGACGCCTGCGTCTGGTCTAGAAGGCCAACACCTCACAACAGAGTTAGGCACTGACTGTTTTTTTGTTTCTGTCCGCCGTGGCACAGTAGCGTTCTGCAGCCTAGGTAATTGTTGCTTAACCCGTGTGTGTGTGTGAGAGAGAGAGACGGTACGTACTGTATATATATATAAGGTTCCGCTATTTCTGCTGTTAGATTATACCGCTCGAGATTTGCATTGTAAATTGGAGGGGTGCCCCTATGCTGGCCAGTTAGAGCCCGGGCCACCCACTTTTGCACAGGCCCACCCCAAAATCAGTTCCTGGCTAGGCACCTGGTGCCAGTGTTTTAAAAATAACAAATTAATCATAATCGATGAAGATAGTGCAAATTAAAAAGTCCATGATGTTTCAAAATGCCATGAATTCAGAAGTCAATTAATAAACAATACAATTCCTACTTAAATTCAAGTGGTGGTCAGGCTGCCTTGTGTTAGCAAAGAAGAATTGTAAGTTTCTAGTGTTTTGAGTGGTTATTACAGTGTTTTGAGTTAAGGGTTAATAACAGTTTTGGGTAGCAGGTTATTGTTTCAGGGCAGTCTTATAGAATTGTACAAAGGCAGCAAGCCTGCATTTGTTCTATGTGGATAAGAACCTACAGTACACAGAGTGCACACCTACTGTGTATGGTTCTTAAACAGAGTTCTGAACACAGACTCCCTCATCCACTAAACAGAATGGAGACTGGGACAGTTCAGCAATTGTTATAGATGTATTGTGGCTATTGTTCCCTAATGTTGGATTTCTGTTTTCTTTTTAGTGATGCTGTGCAGCATGGAAACTTATAGGACTGTGTGGGGACACTGCTGGTGCTGTTTGTGCCTGTGGCTGGCTGCCCTACTTTTTAAAGCTCATCTCTCATCCTTTCTGTGTCAACATTGTTCATTGTCGAATTTTATGAAGACAACATACCCCTACTGTAGATGCATACTCTGACTTTATCACTTTCATTAAAGAGAAAAGGTATTTCCAAAAAGAGCAAACTATATTTCTTCATGAATGTTGTATTAACATCATTAAAAAAAAAACATTGGGCAACATTGTGGAGCAGTGATCTATAACTGGAAGGCTGTAGGTTCAAAACCTTGGTGAGATTCTCTTGTTTTAACCTTGAGCAAAGTCATCTAGATTGCTCCAGTGTATAACAGTCAAGCTGTATAATTCGGAGCAAAAGTAATAACATTACCCCACCAATGCTATGTGGAAAAACTTTGGATAAATGTGTCAGCCAAGTCATTTAGAAACACCATTCTAAATATATGAACGTAGGTGAGGTTGTTTGATGCTCAATCACTAAGGTGAAATCTGAGGGCATTGTTGACTGTTTTTACTGATATAATGTGGGAGAATAATGTGAGACACAGAAGTTAGAAGGGGTAGAGAAAACATATCTCTGAGTAAAAAAAGGAAAATATGAAGTATGGAAATAGCTAACTGATACCATACAAGTCAAACATAGCAACTGACACTTTGAATTTAAAAGTAGAATTGTTTGCATCCCAGAAACCTTAAGAAATTTTTGATTAAAAGTGGATTTAAAAATAATTTATTATTTTAATAGCTTCCTTCTGACCACTCACCAAGCCTTTTTGTCCTCCAAATTGATCTTTACATCTCCCACTCAGCAACACACCTCTCTCCCAGACTCAGACTAGCTCTGTGACTACTTTTTTCCATTGTGAAAGAGGTGCTTTAAAAGAGCAATGGAGATGCTGTCAACCACAGCCCACTTAAAAATGTTAGAAATCTTTAACTTAGATAAGATGTTGCGATTTAAGATCAACAGCAAGGAAGTGTTGACCTAAAGCACATCACTGAAAGTATTTCCAGAACTTTAAAACAACAACAGCAACAACTCAGAAATCTGTTCATAAGTCAGGCTAATTATTAAAAGCTTAAGGAATTGTCATACACCGAGTCCTTCATTTTTGTTTTGGTTTTGAATCCCTGACTTTAAAACCGTTTTGAAATTAAACACACAAAGATTTAGGCAGGTGTGTGGAAAGAGTTCCCTCTGAATGTGTGCTTTAAAGATGCTACTTGGGAAGTCATCACTGTTGGGAGTGTTTGAGAGAGCTCTCACAAATTTCTAATGTTTCTTTTTCAAATATTAAGTACAGCGATGTGTAAAACAAAGCACACCCTCTTAAGATTCTGTATTGCTGCATATTAAGACATCTGACCTTTACCTAGTTCTCACCTAATCCTATCAGTACTGTAGATAAATCTAACCTCATGTGCACCCTAACTGCTTCCATATCCATAAGAAGGTAATTAAAATCAGGTGCTGCTCATCAAGTGCACGTTTGGTTAATCAACAGGAAGTGCTTCCACCTATATATAAAATCATAAACTATGTCAGTTTGATCTGGAGCATTCAGGTTTGTGCTAATGCATCATGCCTAGGTCAAAGGATATCCGTGATGGTCTCAGAGAAAGAATCATTGTTGCTCATGAGTCGGCGAAGGATCATAAAGCCATTTCCAAACAATATGAAGTCCATCATTCCACAGTGAGAAAGATAATTGACACATTCAAAAAGTTCAAGATGGCCAATCTACCCAAGAGTGGGTGTCCCAGCAAATTCACCCCAAAGATCAGACCAACTGATGCTTCTGGAAATGACAAGGAACCTAAAAGCTTCATCCATGGATCTACAGGCCTTTGTCAATATGGTACATGTTAGAGTTCATGATTCTACAATTAGGAAAAGACTGAACAAGAATGGGTTTCCGTGGATTCCTCTGTCTACCAGCACGTTCTAGAAGAAAAGGTGAGTCCGCCTGTCAAACAGCTAAGGCTTAGCCATAAATGGATTATCCCAAACCAGTAAATCTACAACTGAATGGCTGAAAAAGAAAAGTACCAGAAAAGAAAATAATTTTGGAATGGCCGAGTCAAAGTCCAGACTTCAACCCCCTTGAGATGCTGTGACGTAAAGAGAGCTGTGCATAAAGGAATGACCTCACCGAGCTGAAGCAATTTGGTAAGGAGGAACGGGCCACACTTCCTCCCAGGGGATGTGAGTGGCTGATAAACTCTTATAGGAAAAGTGTACTTCAAATTATTTCTGCTAAAGGGGGTTTCACACATTACCGAATTATGAAGTGCACCTACTTTTTCACACAAGGCTATGAAATGTTGGCTGTTTGTTTGATAATGAAAAAGCAAAATGTGTGTTATCTGTCACAAAAGGTTAGGTTTATCTAATGTTAGGACTTGGTGAGGAATAGATGAAGGTCAGATATATTTTAATATGTAAATCCTTATACATTTAAGGAGGTGTACTTTTTTTCACATCACTGTACAAAACTGGTATCCAACTGTATTTCAGGGCAGTGACCAGAGATCACTGTGATCTATGTCCTTATGAGAAAGGATTTCAGCACTGGCACAGTATCATTAAAACACATTCTAAGAGAGGCTTGAAAGACAACACAAGTGCAGATTCCTAAAGGCATATCTGATGTATAAGCCTGATATTTTTATATCATAGTGTGTATAGAAAAAATGACTTTAAAAAAGGCTTACGTTTCCAAAAGCAGAGAAAAAGAGAGCTTCCAACCACTATGCTTGTCAACAGACAGGCAGAGGTAACTATGATGATTATGAAGTTCAGGTTGCAGCAGTTCTTATCTGAAAGGGAAGATAATGACATCAGAATATTAAAACAACTTAGTATATCTTCTAATTTGTCTGCCCTTATGAGGGTTTGTCATGAAACTTGCAGAATTTTTTTTTTTTCGTATGATTTTCCCATGTTTAAAAATGATGAGTATTTACCAGTGTTAAGACAGTTTTCTATATTTGATCACACTGTTGTCATGATTTGATAGTGATGCATTGAAAGTTACTCTGCTTTTTTCAGTATGTACTGGCCCATTGGTGCTGGAGTGATACCTCCTGTATGGTCATAGTAGGTATCTCACTAATAACACCTTCCCGAGGAGCAGGCAGCTTCTATTTAACACATTTTCTTATAGTAAATTGTTGCTCCTTTGATAGCGCCTTCCTCCATCAGTATCAGTCCAGGGTTTGGCCACGCCTTCCTCATTGACTGAACCTTACTCTATCAGTGTTCGTGGAGGGTGTGGCCACTTCTCATCACTTGTCATCAAATTCTTCATCGTTCAATGAAGATTATGATGCACTGCCGGTGTTGATCAGGGACATGTAACTCCAGTCCTGGCGAATTGTAGCATTTTCAGAATTATTAAAATTGCTTAATTGGGAGGAGTTAGCACGCTTTTCAGATCTCCGCTCACTGAAAATGTAAAACTAAAAAACCTGCATCACTAAAGGTTTAGCAGAACCAGGGCTGCAGCCGGTCTAAATGAAGCTTTACGAAAGGATGCAGAAGATTGAAAAATTTGTGTCCAACTTTCAGCACCATCAAAATTCACATCATCACACTGCACCTGTAGAGCCAGTGATCTGTCTTTGTGCTTTGCAGAATAAACAGGTATCAACAGCAATGCATCCCTGCTCCCTCCTCTGGTCACAACATACAATATCTCACATCACGCCTTTGGTTCAATGTGTCACTAACCACTGTATATTAACTCAATAGGCTCTTAAATAAATAACACAATCTAGTTGAAAGAACTGAAAAAGAAGTTACAGCTAATCACTAGAAACCTGTGCATTCTAACTGAAAAGGAAGTCTCACATCTGAACACCACTTCTGTCAGCTGGACCTCAAGCCAGCTTCTTCCTTCCTGATGCCTTACAGCTCTGTACAGTTGTGCAAACCTCACATTTAGGTTTCAAGCTTTTATATCCAAGTATTCAAAATCTGTATGAGGACACTTGTACTTTATTTCCCTTAAACAAGTTAAAAAGGGAAATTAATAAAAAATTATTAAAATAATCATGTTTTGCAGAGGCAGAGGGAATGGAAACTGATCTGCACGAAAGACTGGGTCTTGTTTTTGGTAGTCTTTTGGGTACACTAACTTATTGGTACACACCCAAGCCACTCTGTAGTACAAGAAGCACCTACCTGTGATGTTATGAAGGATGCTGTCTTCCTTGAGAATAATGGAATCATTATAGTAGTTTCCAGTACACTGTATAACATCACTCTCTTTCCAGTCAGGTTTGCAAAGAGTCAGGTAACCAGCTGCGCTGAAATAGGTATCATCTGATTGAACAGGGTCCTCGCTCTTAACGCCTTTATATATCCTTTCTCCATTTCTTGTCCAGGTGAAGTTTACTTCAGATGAGTTGAGGAACTTGAGCTTGCAGATCAGTTGCTTGCATGTCCCAGAATTATTGCCAGAGGTGTTCAGGTATTCCAGCCTGATAACTGGGGAAGCTTTGGAAAACATATCGCATCAGCAAACTTTCCACACAAATAGTACTTTTCTATCTTTAAGCAAGTAACTATGCTGCCTGTTAAGAATTACATGGAAATCTGCAGACACAGTAAGGGATGTTATGTTATGTCATGTGACCATCATGTACAATACACTTTAAGGGTGATTCAAAAACCAAGTGAATTAATTCTAACTGGAGGCAAGGAGGAATCTTCTGTGCTTTTATTTTATCCTTGTTAGTAAAAATGTAATTTGTGTAGCTCTACAATACATAAAAACTAACTATGATTAAATTCATATTCTATAATTTCTATTAAAAAGATACTCTGTTATAATCTTACACATAAAGGTATTTTAAGATTAATAAATAACAGAGATAGATTCTTACCTTTACTTGCTAGAAAAAATAAACATCAGAAACTCATGCTTTAGAAGGAGTTTTTAGGAGTGGTAATAGTGTTTATATTCTGCACTGTACAAGAGATTACTTCTGAGAAAGTTTCCAAGGGTCTTCACCACTGCTGCAGAGCATGAAAGTGTTTTTTCTACCTTACTAGCGCAGTGAGGAACAGAGAAAGTGGCAGAGCAGTGCGCAGTTCCTGTAAGGGTCAGGCTATCTCAATTTCAGCAGAAGAGAAAAGAGGATGGTACTGTGTGAGAATAACAACTATTTCTCCCCCAACCCAAAAGAAAGACAGAAGTAGGTAGCTGGCTCAGAAGAGAGAAAATATATTGTTGTTACACACAATAGCTATAAGAAGCAAACATAAAAGTAAATAGAAGTACCTTCGACCCGAAGAATGAGATAATCTGTTTTTTCTTCTGTTGGTGGAGGTATTTGTCTTGAAACGGTGCAGTTATATTGACCTGCATCACTGATCTGGAGATCATTCAGTTGCAGTTGGTGGTTCTCTAATATTGCCATTCGTTCCTTGCAGTTTTGCTTTGTGATATTGCCTTGGTCCACAATGTGTCCACAGGTGGCCTTAGACGTTCCGACTCTTTTCCATTGAACTACAACCTGCGATGCTTTGGGAAAAGCAGTAGCTGATGAACACTGAAGATTAACTGTACTCCCAAGGTTTGCCCGGATGGTAGGAACGGCATCTGTGGTGTCAGAAATAACATAACATAATGCAAAACAAGTTCTTATTCTTTTACTTTCCCTTATCTTGCTGTCTCTCTTATCACTTCTTTTTACCAAGCCGCCTCTCCGATCGGGGATGATTTCAGTCTTTGAATGTTCTGGTTTCTTTTACGTTTTAGAGTTTCTTCTAAAGTCCTTCTCATCAGACTTGTATTAGCTTTCAGTACCTTTCTGCATCCTGGGAACTTTAATGTAGAAGGTTCCCGGCTGCAACCACACTCGCTGTAAAATCCTTTGAGATGGGAAATGTCACGACTCGTACTTTCTCCCGTAAACGCCCTGGCATTCCCACGCATACTAAACTCCACACGCGCTCACCCAGGAACTAATGATCCAATCACGTGCCTCTCCCTTTAATATTTAAACACTCTTCACCGGCTTACCTACTGTTCGCTCACTATTGAGAAGTCTTCCACAGCTTTCTCTTGTGCTCGCCACTATTCCCCGTTGACTACCCAATCTGGTTCTTCTACTTTTGACTTGGCTCTTGCCTGGATTTGGAATCTAGGATTTACTTTTGCTCGGACTCCCTTGCTCACGGCTTCACACAGGGGGTCCAACAGCTCACCCCTTTCAGAAACCCTGACAGCGTAGCAGAGGGACCAGAACCCACCTAAAATTGATCAGACAGATGGATCACAGCTTTTCACTATAAACAAGAATTCCCTGGTAACTTGGATAATTTTTGTGAAACTGATACTTATTCTACAGACAATGTTAAATGATAGACAAATGACCTGTGTTATTGCTAAATATATCACTTAAAACTAGTCATGACTTCCGCTTTGTTCTAACTGGGCTAATTGTAAAATAACCTAGAATTTTCCATATGAATAATTCCAGTAAGCTAATAGTAACTGTCCTTCCTTGATACTCTTAATCCTCCTTTTAAAACACTAAAAAATCAAGGCCTCTTCATGTTTCAGAAATGACACCATAATAAGGTTGTACAGTATATTATTTATAAATTAATTTCCAACTTTGTTTAATACCACATCTCTCTCACCTTTAGATACCTAACTGGTGATGTATCCCTAACCCTCAGTCTTTTTTATATCTGAGTCTGAACTCAAAAATGCAGTTCAAACCGTGATACAGTAATGATGTTCCTCCATGATTCATTGGGCAAAATGTTCTTTCAGTGCTTTCCCTGCTTTCCCCACACTTTTATCACATTGTTCTTTTGCTATCTGTTTTTCAAAAATATATATTTTATTTTGATTTATTATAATTAACCACACAAAGGAGGAAATTCAAAAATAATTACAGAACACAATAGACCACATTCACTCCTTTCAGAGACACACAATGTGCATTACAGGACTTTAGTTAAAAAACAAAGAGAAAGAAGGGGTAAAACATATTTAGACAAGGGAACATCACATAATCTGAGCTACTTAATCAATAGCAGAGCACCAAGCCACCAACGTAGAGACACTGAGTACAGCTGCACTGTGGACCTTTCTGATAGTAAAATATAATGTAAACATGCTGACTAAACACAAAAAAAACAAATAGTAAGCTTTGGAAATCCCCCAGAATACAGTAGACTTCTACACTGCAGTCTGTTCTTGCCTCGTACTTGTTAATTATTTTTAACTTGTATCCAAACAGAATCCGAGTCCCTGCATTTTCTTTTCACAACAGAGAGACAGAGTCTTAAAGTAATGTTGGGTAATTCTTTTTTGTGACGCTTCGCAAGAATCGGAAACCAAATAAATGTTAGGGCTTGTCAAATATAATTATTTCGAGACTATTAGTCTCTACCAGTCCTGGTCGACCAGCCCCGGTCCTGGCAAGCCACAATCCACAAGTTTGATGGTTGCCCCTAAATAATAACTAAGAACATTAACAATATTTTCTTTTGACATTATTTGGTAAATTTGTATTTTGACAGGTATTTTCTACTATATGTCCCTTTCCACATATCACAACTCATAGCCTGAAATCACTGTATGACCTGTCCAGGGCAAAAAAAAAAGCTTTTTGCAGCTTTCGAAAAAAGCAATAGTCTTACCTGTAAAAGACGTAAAACTCCTGAAAACAGCATAGATGAAAAAAAGTGATTTTTTCACCTGTGAACCCATTGTGACAATGAGACTTCAGCAGAACTCAAAGGCTTCCTGTATTGTGCTGACAGGCTTTCCTGCACCTTCTTCCTGTCCGTGCATTTCAGCTCACATCGCCCACCAACATCTTCAGTGCTGTCATAGCGAGCTTTTACAACACTGCTAAACCCAGAACACAAAAGGAAATAAAATACGAGTTTCACTTCAAAGAAATTCAATCAGTATTTCAAGCTGCGTACGTGTTATTGGGATGGTCATCAGTCTCGCTGGCAAAGTTTGAAATATTACATGTACTGTACCTAATATTGATTACTCCAGGGGTTCAAATGCACAGACATGACCTATATAATCGTCCCACAATGACCCATATAAATATATACAGTTAATATTCTTTCTGAGCACCTTTCTTGCTTCTGAAGTCCTTTTTTTCAGAATAGGTAGCATCTACTGTATAGTTCAGGTGGGTAGCTGCGTCAGCATGCGTAGGCTGCAAAGGAACAAGTAATAGGTTTATTCCATGCTGAAAAAAAGAAGAAAGAGAACACAACGTTTCGGCCGTGGAGCCTTCTACTGTATAGTATACTTTATCTGCTATACTGTATGTTCGTACATATTGTACTGTAACTTGCAAAAACACACATCACGATGCCTACTGTAAAGAGAAAGTGGAGTGATTAATCATCTTATCTCGTTATTAAATCCCAACTAGGTTTTTAGCTTTTATTAAAAACGAAGGAAGCGGAACATCTTGTTGGCAGGGAAAAAAGATTTTTAAGTCTCAGAAAAGAGCACTATGGGATGACAAAAGGAACTGAAATATATTAGTTTCACTAAACACTATTATGTCCTGATCTAGCTTAAACATGATTCTATAGAGAGAGAAATACAGTTGTCTAGAGTGATTTCTCTAAACATTGTAATGCCAAAATTGACATGCTCATGCTTTGGGGTGCAACAACTTGGGTATGCAATGTTATTCCAGTGTCCATGAGTGAGGATGACTTTGAGGAAATGCTAATTGGAGTGTAAACTAGTCTTCCTCTAGAATGGGCCACAAATAATAGGAGTGGGTGTCGTGGCTCTTTTGATAGACAAAACCTACTGTAACACTGAATTTCCTCTGTCTGCATAATACCTGCCTCTGATGTCCAAACACCAATTACAAAATTAACACTTTTAATAATTACAACAACAAGAATGATGCACAAAGCAAGAAAATGAAAAAACACGTAATCATCTTTATTGCCTGCTAGCAAAAGGAAAGGACAGTTTTTGTATATGCATACAAGTTTAGGAATAGGAGTAGTTGAAAAAGTCACAAACTAATAAGAGTCAATAAACAAAGCACAATATAAAATAACTGGTCATTTTCTTCAAATGAAGCAATTGAATAGTTTGCTAGTGGCTTTGATCTAAGACCCTTTACAAGTAGGTTATCTAGATATCTGATATCTTGACATTTCACATATCAGTAAGGAAAATAAGGGATTCTGCAGGTTAAGCAACACAAGGGAGCAATGTACACAGGCACCTTCTTTTCAACATACAGAAATCTATGTAAGTCATTGCATGTAACATGGGAACACTATAAAGGAACAAGTAATAGGTTTATTCCATGCTGAAAAAAAGAAGAAAGAGAACACAACGTTTCGGCCGTGGAGCCTTCTTCAGGTGTGAGAGAGACAGGGCAGTAGGCAAAGGTAAAGTAGCGGGAGAACAAAGGTTGGGAGGGAGGAGGAGTGAGAGGCGGGAGCAGGGGACAGAAAGAGAGGCCAATCAAGAGGTGTGAAATGAAATGGGAACACTATGCACTGTACTTTAAATAACAGCAACAAAAAGGGGGAAAAAACATGTGGGAGCCAAGTCAGATGTCCCAAAAAGAAACAGAAAATGATTTCCAATGCACTGTTCACTTGTTGACAAGATTGTGAAAGGGCTCCCAAATCCAGTACAGTATATACACATGCCATCTTTCCCCATCTTGACAACTAATCTGCTTGAGCTACAAGATCCGCTCACTGTTTCCTGTTAATCCCAGTCTCAAGTGTGGTTCACAAGGCTGTCCTACAGTGGAGCACCACTTTAGTTAAAGGCCTCTGCTTCCCCTTGCCTCTGCTGTTATCAGATCAGTTTTTATGCAGTATTTATGTTCCCAGCTTTTGTCTATCTACAAACTAAACAAAGACACCAAAATTATTAAAGTGCCAGGTAATCTCAGCAGATATGAGTAGCTACTGTATGAGTTTGGCCTTGTAGTAGTATTGCTAGTTGAGGGTGATGACAGAACTTACAAGCGTTCAAAATCCAGTTTGGCTTTCAAAGTCTCCTGAAATAATAAAACAGTGACTCGTGCAGTAGTTCTAAAATTCCAGACAATCCCAGGGAATGGGAGACCTTTTTGTCTAAGTGTGTTTATGTGCATGTTTGTAGAACTACACTGGCTAAGCGCCGTTGAACACATTACTGTATTTCCATACAGAAACGGGGTGATTGTGTTCACGGTTAACACATCTTTCTGCACAGCAGCATGATATTGGTCCATATGAGGACTAGTTTTAAGTAAGTTCTTGGTATGAGTAGCTGGGTTCAAGTCTTACACAGGTGAGGCAAGCCAGCACTAAGTAATGTGCAGACTGAAATACACAACCTTTGAGTTTTAGCTCCGTTTTCAATGGCGACAGTATAGACATGTTGGTGTTTGCTGTAGTAAATCTGTGTTCCTTCAGTGATGGGAAGGTGAGGAGGTGGTTGTCTTGGTGACGTATCTAAAATACTGTAGAATCATCAAACTGTTAGGAAGCACAGCACTCAATTGTTAAATATTACTTAGAATTAACGAACAGGCTTAAATACACTTGACTTAGGTCCAATCCACTGCAAACAGAAAATATTTCATGATGTTAAAATAGGCCATGTTTAATTATATAAAGTAAGGCATAACCTTAATCTTAAAATACGGGGTACTTTGAAATCTAGATAAAAAACGAGGGAGCAGGAATTAGGTTTCAAGAGTTGTCTCCTCACTCTAGGTGTAAAGAGGTCACATTGAAAAATCTTATTTTAGAAACAACCTCCATGTCCTTTGTACTGTAAGCCATTAATTTGAACACAACGAAATAGTCTGAAGTGCATCATTCATCAGCCATGAACAGAAAACATATTAAGAAAGGGAAAATTGGAATTCTTTTGTCTTAGGAATGTATTCTTCAAGTAGCCCTGAGGCTGGAAATTAAGCAATCACAATAGATCTATGTTGTTATGCCTTTGTGTGTGATGGGGGATACATAGACTCATGATCCATAGGTACCACTCCTAAGCTAGCTGGAATGCCATCAGTATACCAACTACAATGATATCCCTGCTACAAACCATAAGAAATTCTGCCAAGCTCATCAGCAGTCAGATCCTTACTGTACTACAGTATCTTGCATTACCGGGACATTTGAGCATCCAGAGGATCACCACACACTGTGCCAAATATGTGCACATGGTACAGCTGTCTACTTAGAACTACAGCCAAAATACCAAGAGCAAGATTATAGCTGTCTGTGGACCCAGATTAGCTCTTTGGAAACCATATGGTATTTTTTGGGTAGAGATTTGTGCAAGCTAAATACATGCTCAAACATGAAAAGATCTGTTGCTACCTGTAAAGGACCCTGTACCAACACATTTCTTAAGAAATATTCAGTGATCACTCCAATGTCATTCTTTGAGGACTCTTAGACACAAACAGAAAACTTAGAAGTTTGAATTTGGAGAAACGGCGGCATTCAAGAGATAATAATGTAATTAAATAAAGAACCCCCCTTCCATCAATTTCAAGTCTGATTTTCTTTTCCTTTGGATATAAAAAAACACTTTCACACAACAGGCATCGTCTGTGGGGCTTTTTGAAAAATCCCGTGCCAAACCAGACAAACATATTTGTTTGGTTTTAAACACATGACTGTGACTAAATATCTCAAATGTGAAATAACTGCATCATGGTCATTGTGTTTAAGCCTTGTAAAGTCAGCAGCCTAAAGCGCCAGCACAGAAACCTTCCGGGAATTTGTCTCTCAGTCTCTTGGTACTGTCATTCCACTTTAAACCGATTTGGGTGCAAACCCTTGGCAATATTTCAAAGACGTTCATTTCTTGTTTTTCCCACACTGTGGGCTAAAATGTGGAAGAGGGGAGTTGGGTGCAGTTGGGTTTCAGTTTTTTATTTCTATGCTCATTATCGTCCTTACAAAGCAAAGGGAAACAGGAATTTTAAGAATCAACCTTCGACAAAACAATTCCAGGAAAGTTGAAACAAGCACTGCTAGGCAACATGTATCAAAACATCTTGATCCGAGAAGAAAGTGTGCATCTACAGTACATTTCAGAAGAAGTAAATTTAAAAGCAGCAGATATAATATAGGTTATTTTAATAGGTGTTCAAGAGATAATAGTTGCATCGGCAGACAGTGTTATATCAGCAGACAGTGTTATGACAGACAATTCATTAAAATGGGCTGGAGTGCATGGCTAAGGAATCCCTTTCTAATCAGGGTGTCAGTAAGGCAAGGCTGAGTTACCAAATGGGCTGTAACAATCAGATCCATATACATCATGATACAGTACTTTTGACATAAATTATATCAAGCACACATTGTACACACTTTTGAAGAGGATACATCATAGATCTGCAGAACCTCCCTGAAACTCACTGACATACATTCCTGACAAGTTTAAGGTAGATTATAAACTTTCTGGGTGCATATACAGGTTTTAAGACTATCTGAAGAAACAAAAGATTCAAAAATATTCAAACAGAATTACAGAGGGTTTTGGCATTTTCTGCAGTTGTACGCATGTCTATCAAGTGGAGGGAGGTCATTGTTTCCTTCCTTAATATCATGGTGTTACCTGGTTTGGAGGCCTTGATCAGAAATAAAACTCTTTAATTTCATTCATTGACAATTACACACACAGAAACCATGTTGATGCGCAAATTCCACATAGTAATCGGTACAGCATTTCTCATGTAAATTACCAACAGGTTGTAACAAACTAGTCACTTGTGTAAATGGCCTAAAAATCCTCCTTAAGAATCCATCACATGTTGGAAAGTCAAGATTGAGTCATAAATAGAAAAATACAGGTACAAAATCCATTACATTCAAGAGACAGTACTAGCACAAAAGGATATTATCAATAATAGTTTAATTAATATAGGACCTCTAAATTTATATAGGCATCTTCTATTTAGAAAACGTGAAGGATGATATTCTATGGTGGGATGAAAAATATGTGGAACAGGCGGTTTTTCATATATATATACTCTTTTTTTTCTTTATAACCAACTTCATGCCAGACTTTGCAAATCATTGGTTAATCGACACAACTTGCCTAAAATACTTTCATTCATATTTACATACACAAAATAAAAGACAATCAGCGGACGCGGGCGTCTCTCGGAGAGGACTTGAAGAAGGGCAAAGGCTGTCGCGAGCATGATGATCAACAACGAGGGCGAAGGGGAAGTGGGGGGCGGGGAGAAACATGCTTTGAAGAATGTGAGAAGATATTTTGGTTTAGGATTTTAAGGTGCAAATATTGTCTTTTTACAAGAGGCATTGAAAAGGTGTCAAGTGTTTTTCTTTACCATTCCCACTACAAGATTAAGTCACAGAACACCACCAGAAATACCGGTCCGAAACGAGTTGTGCTGATATAAGACATCGGTTACCTGAAAGTATAAATGCCCCTACAAAGTTCAGTGCAACTGCTAATCTATCCTTTTTAAATAGACCGTCCCCTTTTCTTTGGCAAATGTCTGCTAAAAAGTGTGTTTTGTTACCATCCCGCTATTGTTACTGTACAGTGTATGTACATCAACATCTCTAAACGCAATCAGCTCTGCGGCATTCTGTGCTTATTTATGAGAAATGACTGATTGTTCATTCATGTGCTTTGCCGAAGGGGAATTAGCTCAAACGGCCCTTCTGTGCAAATCCTGGATCAGGTGCCATATCCTAAAGAATGTTTTAAGCATTTGTGCATATTCATCACATAGAGGGCTTCTAACACACAAGACGTCTAAAAACCCTTCACGGCACTTTGTTTTAAACGTATGTTCTTAATCGTGAAGCTCTTGATCCATTTCTTTCCAAATTCATTGGACTTTTCATATTCAAAGCAAGTCTCCCTGATACAAGTTAAATGGCATTGTCTAGTTCGGAATCAGGGAATTAAGGATACTGTACTTTGCCGACCCAGTCTAGAGTGAACAGTAAGTGCCTTTTTCACATCGGAACTGTGGTTCTACAGTCCAAAAACAGTCCAATGAAAAGCATTTACAACTTTTGTTTTACCGCACTGCGGGAAAGAAGATGAATTCATTTTAGATCAAACAAGATGATCTTAATCCGGGTTTAGGGAAATAACGTATCTCTTCCGAATTTTAAAATAAGAAAAAAAGAGGATGGTACATATACTGTATCAAAACTTGTCTTTCAAAAATGCGTATACTATGTAAATACTCAGCAGACATTGCCCAGAAAGGGAGAAGCAGTAGCTTTATGAATATATAATCCTGAAAGAGGTGAAACAGTAACTATTGAACTAGAAGCGTGCAGTTTTTCTCAGTGCTTATCTGCTTAACAATTAAGCAAAGATACATCATTTTTTGTTTTTGCCTTTGTCTATGAGCATTTTGACAACAGTCTTAATCCAGTAAACCGGCCCTCAAAGAGAGACCTCTGAGGTTAGGAAGAAAAAAATAATGTCAAAAAAGAAAAAATGAAAGAAAATACAAAGCATTTCCACACATTGCTTGGGGAAAAAAAAAGTACCACAAAAAAACCTTACAAGGAATTAAAAAGACAAGTAGAAGTGAATACATGATCCAAAATAAAAGGATTATATAAATTTCCTTGTTTCAATAAACAAGATATAGTAGCACTGCACCATTAACAAGGGCAGATCTACAGGAGTTCCTCTACTTCAGTTCCAACAAACTAGGTAACTTTGTGCCACAGGTCCCCCAGGCTTAACGTACCCAGTTCTTTCTGTATCTTAGTGGTTCAGAGAGTGAATAATATTTACTGGGATGACATAACCAGACCAGTAGGTCTGAAGCATCGTTACCCAAACCCCAAACACAAAAAAGCAGAGATATGCTCATTTGAAGCTAAAAAAAAAGCAAACTCTTGTGAAGGATCAGATCTCTAGGTTAAAAGAGGGAAATTCGTGTTAGGAAACAGGCTGCACAAAACCTCTATACATCACAAATCATCTTGTATAATTGCAGCTCTGACTGAACCTAAAGTAAAACTTAATGTTTCCGTGGTTAAAAAAGTAGGAGTTAATACATTCAAGGGTTTTTCTGGAGGCTTTAACTGGGCCAACCTCTACAATGGTGAAACAATGACAAAAGGCTACTGCTTTTCTGAGGTTTCCTAAGAGGCAGTCAGCTACAGATGTAGTATATGCCCCCAGATTGTACTGGGGTCTCCAACTCCAAGATCTAGAGATCCTAGTGTTTCTGCATAAGTAATACTTCTAGGTGTTTTTTCTATGTAAATCAAGCTTTAATGAAGTGAATGTTCTGAAAAATCAACTGTAAAATTCCATATTAATAATCCTATGCATGATCAGCAAAGAAAATAATCAGGTTGTCTTAGTCGACTACTAAGGTTGGAACAAAACGTATGAAGACACAGGTCTCAGCAGGAGTTGGGGACCTGGGAGTTGGAGCATGCCCCTTCAAACAACATTAAAAAGAATGAGACTATGTTGGATTACTGAGAAACACCTTTCTAAAATCTGCCTTCATTCATGGCACATGTACCCAACAAAAAATATACTGTACAACAGGAATGGCAAGATTGTTTACACAACACACAGTGGGATTACAGCTGTAACAGGCTATTTGAAAAAGGAATGAATGCCTCAAGTTAAATTAAAATGAACAAATAACCCATAACAAAGCAATTAATGTTTTTTCTTTCAAAAATGCTTCTGATGCTGACAGTAATTTTCACAAATATTAATGGACTGAATATGTCCTTCGGAGAAAAACAGGGTTTAAAAATTAAAAAAGGAACACAAAAGGAAGAATTGATCAGTACGAATCCTATTAAATAAAAGTAGAAAACTAAGCTTTTTCTAGCTAAAAATTAGTGCAGTGTCTGTGTTATTAAACTAGCTATCATAGGAAACTAGTAGCACACATTTGGATTAGCTATTTAGATGCTACAAAGACTGTGCAGTAAGGTCAAGCATTGACATAAAATGCATTTTATCTTTCAAGTACTTTAAACTGTTCATTTAAGAAGAAACAGGCTTTGTGTATGCTTTTTATACAAAATTCCTGTCTCATTAAAAGTCAAGAAATAACAGCAAGAACGTATATTGCCTATGTGAAGTTTAATATCAGAAAAGTGGCCAAAGAGCCTCCACTCCATTGTAATCTTTCATACGTTCTTACGTAAGATACTGGAGTGACCATCATGAACAGAATAAGTTACAACAAACAAAATGTGCACCTCCATGGGGAGCCTGGTGCACTGAAAGCTGTGTGAGTCCTTTATTTCACATTTAAAGTCTATGACAACAGCTGAATGGTACACCTGATCGGACTAGAACGCCATGCTTGCTCCATTCAGTGAGGCAGTACAGCAGACTCCCTTCACTTGAAACTTAAAACGTGTTCACCCCCAACAATTTGGATATTTTCGGATTTTCATTATGTGCACTTCAGTTTATCGGAGAGTGTAGAAGCCCCAATCCATATCTAAACTAGGATGTGAAACTTGATGTGATAAAAATGGGTGAGAGATATAGAAGCTATTCCAGCTTCTTTCCTCTTTCAGCATAACTTCAGAACATCCCAGAAAATTTGGCAAGTTCCTTGAAGTCAAATGCCTTATAAAAAACGTGACATCAGTTCCTGCTGAAAATGGAGAGAATTTCCCCTTTTGTCTTCTCAAAGGGACTTTTTATGTGCAATACAACACATTTCAGTTGGTCAGCTGAAGGGAAACTTCAATCCTACAACTGAATCTTCATACAGAATTTGAGAGCCTTTTATTTCTGAATCACTTCATACACACATATTTTTCTTTAAGAAATTCATATACTGTCTTAGCTTTTCAGCCTTTGTTTTGTCGCCTGACATTTCATGTTACTGACGGCACAAAATAACCACTGAAATAAGCTGTAAAATTAATTCTTCATAAGTATCTCAGGTGAACCTTTTCCAATTGCTCCAATAACTCTTTTCTATAAATCATACCAATTCGTTTTAAGAGGAGTCTACTGTACACCACACTCTATAGTCCACAGACTGACCCCCTGCTTGCAGCATTAGATATTAGGACAGACAGGTGGTCATGTGGTCAGAGTTAAGGATACAAAGGCAATCAGTGTGCTAGAAGACAAATCTGTGCATTACTGTGATCGCTAGTTTAAAAAGAGGAAGGTTTTCAGGAAGCTACTAGGTTTCCTTCAGTCGCATGACGGGACGCCACAGTTGAGCTCTCTCTGTTTCGGCACTGAGTTTACAGTATCTGGTTAGCAGAGTCAAGAACAGGTAACCCTAGTAAGCAGGCAACGCTGAATAAAAAAAATGTGGAAAAATACACTGCGTGTAGAATTTCTATTTTTTTAAATGCACTTTTTGTTTTCAAAACTTGACCTTAAAAAGGCAGCCTTCTCTCGCACATTATCTGCTAACCCGTCACAGCCACCCAGTGGAAAAGCCCAGCTCTGGGACCAGCTCGGCTCCAGTCCTTGCTGACAATTGGCTTCTTTGGGGAGCTGCCCCCGTCCCCTACCCAAAATGTCCAATGGGCTCCCCTCCCCCAGAGCAGAGCCGAACCTCATGTAGTCAGGACAACTTCCTTCTGCGACCTTCCGTCTTCAGGACATGGCTAGGAGGTTAGGTAACAAAAGCACAGTGTGTTTGTTAAAAACTGCATGCCTTCACTGGTCAGCGCAGGAGATGAGTACAGGAGTCTGGGCCATTTCATTTGACTGTCCCTCATGAGGCATGGTTACAGGGTGCTGGCTTCTGCAACGAGAGAGGACACAAAATCACCCTGCAGGGCATGACGTGAGCTGTGGTGCCCTTAAGAGAAACACCTGTTTCCTGGCATTCCTACTAACACAAACATTAGTGCAGTATCTGTGTTATTAAACTAGCTATCATAGGAATCTAGTAGCACACATTTGGATTAGCTATTAAGATGCTACAAAGACTATGCAGTGAGGTCAAGCAATGACATTAAATGCACTTTATCTTTCAAGTATTTTAAACTGTTAACGTAAAATGAAACCGGGGTTGTGTATGCCCTTTACAGTACACAAAATTCCTGTCTCATTAAAAGTCAAGAAACAGCAAGAACATATATTGCCTATGTGAAGTTTAATGTCAGAAAAGTGGCCAAAGAGCCTCCACTCCATTGTAATCTTTCATACGTTCTTACGTAAGATACTGGAGTGACCATCATGAACAGAGTAAGTTACAACAAACAAAATGTGCACCTCCATGGGGAGCCTGGTGCACTGAAAGCTGTGTGAGTCCTTTATTTCACATTTAAAGTCTATGACAACAGCTGAATGGTACACCTGATCGGACTAGAACGCCATGCTTGCTCCATTCAGTGAGGCAGTACAGCAGACTCCCTTAACATGGCTCTTATTCAAGAAAATGTGGTCACCCCAACAACTGGTGTACTGGAGGAAGACCACACACATGCCGCAGTAAATAAGAGAACTGTTTAACGGTTCTGTTTAACGGTTCTTGGTGGGGTGGTGAAACTATAGGCATCCTTCAGCACAGAGAATCCCGCTTACTCCTGTATGTGATTGCTTTATTTGAGTCACCAACCTTAAAAGTAGGTTACTGCATATGTTTTATTCTGACTGGTATGAAGGTATGAAGAAACTCCCAGGATAAAGCAAATATTGATTCACTGAAATGGAAAACTAAAATGAAACATGATGATGCTTAGTGATGATACAGATGTACTTTACTCAACTACTCTGATGGGCAACTATCTTTTAAAATAAGTGAAGGAAAGACTGTTTACCTGTGTGCATTCTCCATGGCTGCCACCTCAGCCAGTGCAGCCAGACTGAAGAACGCTGGGAGATTGGACACACTGGGCCTGTCCTGTGTAATACTGCTTGCGTCTTGTGCCTGGGGTTCTGTGTAGCACCCTTCATCTTTGCATAAAGTCTCGTGGGTTAATGGCTTTTCCTCCTGGTCCTGTGCCAGGTCTCTGGCTTTGTCTTCTGCGAACAGAAGGGTAACACCACAGTTAACACCAGGTCACCACAAGAAATTCTCTACTTCTTTAATGGCAGGTTTAGCCCCTTTTCTTCTAAAATGGACAGATGTCCACTTTTACTGTAGCTGCCTTCCACATTGGAAGCATTACAAGGCAGAGGGAAACGAGTTAAACGTCTTTCACAGTTGACTGTGTGTATTTAAGTTTCACAGAAACCAGTTTTTGTACGGTGTACAACACTTAAGAAATGCACGTAATTTGAAGAAAAGCAAACATTTTAAGAAATGTCAATCAAAAAGTGTCTCCACATGAGCTTTCTGTCTGTGCTGCCTTTCAGACCAATACCCCTGCTGACAGTTTCAGTAAACTCCCGCGTATCTGATAATCAGAGTGCCAGAAACCTCAAGCAACTTCACACTCAATAATCACACTTCCAGAAACCTCAAGCAACTGGAAAAAAGTCAACCAAAGAAATGAATAAACAAAAAAAAAAAGAACATTAAAATAAAAAAACAAAATCCCCGCGCACCTGTTTCTCTCACCCCCCACCAGTTCAGCCAGTTGACTGTCTTCTCCCTTGCTCAACGTTTCCTGGTTCAATCCATGGTGTTTCCGTTTGTCCTTTATCACCATCTGTCCTTGGATTTTTGAGTTTGACTATATTAACATTACCTTATCGTATTACCTGACTTAATTCACTTTTTTAGCACTGTGGTGTTGTCCTAATCATCTTTCTTTAGGCTTGGTGTCATCCCTTCGATCTCACCCATCCGAAAAATCCTCTTATCTGGAAACCCTCTTCTGGATATGAGGATTTTTGGGATCGATGACATTCAAGCAAACTGGCATGCAGTTGGCTTTCATATCATCTATTAAAAGTTTACAGGGAGTTTATTTGGAAATATTTGGAACTTATACAGTACGCGTCTATTTTTAGGATTTGCATGGAACAGGACACCCTTCCGCGTGGTTGCACCTCTCCGATCCTTCAAGGGGCAGCCTGCTGAAATTCGTGGATGAATAAGCCAGTGACACCCAGAGGTGCCCGTCACTCACCCTCTGCAGGAGACACCCTGCCATCTGCGCTGCGCACCAGGTGCGTTATCTTGCTCTTCCTCGCCTTTCTCTTCTGGCTGCCCACCAGCAGGGCCTCCAGCGATGCTGTGCTGGAGGACTGAGGCAGCTTGGCCTTCTGGACAGGGTCTTGCATTGCTATGGCTACAGATAAAGACACAGGTCACTGGGCTTGATCTGGACCGTGCCTGGAGACAATCCAGGCCCGCATATTATTGATTTCTGTTTTTCTACCACAGTGGAGGTTTTAAAAACATAAAATAAAAAAAGAAAGACTGCTACCCTAATCTATTTCTCTAAATATCCATTCCATGTTGAAACTCAACAGATTCAGAAGTGAGGCACTGTTAATCCTCTACAAATCTCTGTGGTATGCATAAGGTGCACAGAGACTATCAAGTGTCAAAAGGGGAGAAAAGGATGGAGAGAATCTAGCAGTATGAGTTGAAACAAATAAGCCACTTCAGTGACAGATGAAATGGGCTCTGCGATCTCTTTACTACATCCTGTCAAGATCACAACACCTCTCTGTGGTCTGGCTGATCTGTGAAATGATCACTACCCTCTTGTGCGGCCTGTGAAGTGGCGTTTATTGTTTGTGGTACTAACACAATCCACAAAGTCAGGTCACGATCTACAAATTTACCCTCCTTCTGCTCTGGCTACACACTCCTCAAACAATCGGAAACTAAACGGATACTTTAACAGGACGAGAAAACGGCAACACAACGTGAGCAAACTATTTCACCTTTATCCAATGTATTGGGTTTCTCCTTTTTGTGCTTGTACTTGCTAACAATCTTGTGGAATAAATTCTTTTTCTGAGATGGGGATGAACCTAAGATCAAAACAGAAAAAAAAAGAACAGAACATGATGTGTTACATGAGATCTATGTCATTCTCAACTGAAATGAGCAATTGTTAGGCTTAAGACAAGTGACAACGGTAACACTCCACATTGCAGGACTGAAAGCACAGAGAACGGGTGTTCTCCGTCCATGACCTTTGCTCACCCTTGCTTGGTTTGGGCTGCTCCACTGTCCCATTCCCACTGTTTCGCTTTTTCTTCGTGGTGCAGGTGTTCTTCCTGTCAAATGTCAGAGGACTATACTGTGGAAGGCTGTTGAATTTCTTTTCAAACTCTTCTTCCAGCTTCCCCAAACTGCACGAAAAATGGAAAATAGTTACACCTACTATACTTAGATGAATGTATATACAAAAGAGCCTGGAGATGCTAAATGAAGGGTTGTCTTCAGCTGAATAAAAGATGAGACTTGGACCTGTGTTTAAACTAGAGCTCCCAGCTAACAGGAAGCTGTGGAAAAGAAATTATTATTGTTCTGTTTTGTGAAGTCCCTGCTCACAGTTATGACACTGTTGGTACTGTATATGTACAGACCCAGTAAGTTAAAGGTTTTTTGCATGCTTCTCTGTAGTTGAGATGTAAGATCTTCAACAAAAAAAACTCTTGCACACAGAGGGTAACGTGATGTTAGTACACCGTTGTAGAAGCTAGCCCAAAAAGTAGAAGATTCAGCATTACAAATAAAACTAAAGCAGAATGAAGACGGCATTAAGGTCACTAAGAACACAATAAATTCTGAAAGACTTAAATGGTTACTTAAAAGCACAAACTAGATATAGCAAATATAGCATATTTCAAAAAGGCTCTAAAAGAAATCCATACAATGTAACTGCTCACCCAGCAACACACTCCTCCTTAGATTTGGATTTTTTCAGCTTCTTGTTGTTGCTGGTCCCTGACTGTGCGAAAGCCCAGCTGTCATCGGTCCAGCCACCCTCGTGATCAGAGACACTGCCTCGCCCCGAACCTCTTTTACCTGCAGATCAAAGCCCAGAAAGAACAGTCATTCCATTACTCATCCACCAATACAGACCTGCACGGGGACTAAAATTAACCCAAATTCTTACTGCTTTCCAAAACATTAACTTAAGTTGCACTCTGCAAAACCGGTCGGTACATTGCAGAAAAAATGTGACGCCTTTTTAAGCCTGGAATTGTAAATTTCAACATTTAGTAGAGGGAATACTTCTGGAATGGAGTCAGCCTGTTAAATAAAGACTGTTCTAAGACTGAAGCTAAAGAATTTGATGAACGCTACCTTGAGAAGTAATAAATGAATTAGTTTGATTTTTAGTGACCACCTGAAGCGGTGATCATCATAATAATCACATGCCCTACCTCGATCCACATTGGCTCGCAGTGAAGTCAGCATTCCTTCAGAGACCAGAGTCTTGTACAGAGCGCCTTTGCAGGCCCTCTCGGACTTCCTCGACCCACAGCTCTCTGGTCTTGTGCTACTCTCCTTCTCCTTCTCCTTCTCCTCCGTTTTCACGAGGAGCAGGGGGAGATCTTGGGGTGCTGACTCCGCTGTGCCCGCGGGGGGCTCCGTCTTCACCTTTGCCTCCTCTGCCTCCGTTTCGATGGCTGGGGGGCCGTTCACAGGCAGCTCTGGGGGCTTAGAGTCCTCCACAGATCCCGGCTCTTTCGCCTTGGCTGGCTTTTTCACTTTGGCCTTCAACTTCTTCTTTGGTGAGCTGACCTCCCCAGGGTCTCCTTTCACACTGGGTGGGGGTCGAGACTTTTTCTTGGGCGTCTCGCCTGTGTTCTCCCCTGGCCCCCAGTCCCCCTTCGCCACAGCCTCTATCGTGTAGATGACGCTCTCCAGGTCGGACTCGGAGGACTGCCGCTTCTTGCAGCTCTTTTTCGGCGAACCCTTGTCAGCCTTCGGAGCCTCGTCCCGGTCTTTCTTCTTTTTCTTTTTCACCTTTTTGGGCTGACTGAGACTCGGGGGGCTGGGGTCGACGGGAGAGGAGGACGCCGAGGAAGAGGCGGACGAGGGGAGAGCGACGCCGGGGGCGGCCTGGGTCTCCTGGCCTAGTGACGTGGTGTCCATCCCTGCTCGGCTGCCCAGGGAGATGCCCGCTGGAGCAGAGGGATCTGGAATGGAGTTGCCCATCGGCGATGGGGTCAGAGCTTCAATTTTCCCTGCCTCCGATGCCAGGCACATCTAAAGGAGACGCAGAAGCTGGTCAGTTTAAAACAATTACCTTCGCAGCACATATAATATAATACAATAAATATAACAGAAACATGTTATCAAAAGCCCTTTTATCGCCACAGTTTTCCATGTAAAACATCTACCTGCTGGTAATCTACAGGTTTTGTGCTGTTGCAAGTGAAACTGAATATGTAAATACTGATGATTGAAGAATACCTATGTACTGTACTTAATTAATGACAAGAGTATTGAGTTTTACTTACTAAAACTTGCAAAAGGAAGTATATATATATAAGTCTTACTTTAACGTAATAGACTGATTAATAATATTTATAATAAGTATCAGGAATTCATAATAAATGGCAGGAATAAGAATCAATGAGGAAAAAGATACCCGGTAGTACTGTTTCCTTCCAGCAGGTGGCAAGATTGATCATCTGATAAAAACTCTTGGCAAGAGTGGAAAGTGGAAAGTTTGGCAAAAACAATGCTTTTCACACTACTATTACTTCAATTTCTGAATTTCTTTAAAAATCTATGATTTGCACTAAAATGATCTATCCAGCTGGAATCTGGACTTAACAACCTGGAAATATTAAACTCTCCTCCTAGATAGTCTAATATTTCATTGAATGCCTTCTAATGTGACTTAGCTGTTGCCTTGATCAATTTTTCTGCAGGTAAGGTCCCCTGGTGTTAGAAAATAAATCTTAATAACCTCCTCCGGTCCAAAAACAGCTTACCTCTGCAAGCTGGAAAAGCGCTGACTGGCCACACTGTTTCACCTCTGGGACAATGGACTGAGATGTACTGGAAGATATCTGCTTTAAAGAAACCAGGAGTCAATGATAGGTTTAATTGTTGGAGGTGAAGACAGTCCTCTTGAATCTAGACTAAATGTTTCCTTCCCATGAGTCAAGCAAAACATGACCAATAAAATAAAATATGGGTCATCTCCAAAAAACCCTGATTAGCTTTCATCTCACTGAAATGGCAAAGTTCTACACATTTAAAAAACCTGAATTTTAGAGTTGCCAGGCATTCTTTGGAGGCAGGCTGCTCAGATTACTTCACCTCGGCCAGCTGAAACAGTGGAGATTTCACACAAGGTTTCATGGGCTCGGTAAGTCCAACCTGGGACGTATTGGAAGAAATCTGCAGGCAGAGAAAAGAAATATAATATGTGGTGGCGAAAGATCTTTTTTTCTACTGTACATATGTAACAAAATGTTGGAGACGTCCACTGCTACTCTTACTTGCCTGTTGTATGATACAATAGACACTGGCTGCAAATGACGAGGTTCCAAGTTCTGTTTCATTTATTTTCACTTCAAGTCTATTTTTAAGGTACTTTGAAACTGTAAATGTTAAATGTTTCATCTCACAGAGAGGAGCCAATGGTGTGTTTGGGGGTCCCGGAGCAGGAACTGTCTGAAACTGAGCTGAGCTCCGGCTTACATTAAGCACAGAATAACATTCTATCTAAGGGGTTACAGCGCTAAAACTCTCCGTAAATGTTGCTGAATTTCTCTGCTTGTGAAAATGTTTGAACACAGGAGTCAGTATCCCACCTCAGCCGGCTCAGTCTGGAAGGACTTTCCATTCTTCACTGTGTCTGACACGGTGGTCTGGGGTGTCGTAGAGGAAATCTGGTGAAACACGGAACGCTGATCACCCACAGAATGATAAACCGGCAATGCCAGCCGATATCTACAGTACAGTGCATAAAGTAGCATTTTCAAGGATCTCATAAAATGAAAATGGAAACAACAGTGGCTATTACAGCATGTTTTGGCCTTTCAGATTTTTCCTGGTTTCCATTGCGTAGCGCAGTGTCTGGAGTAGAGTCTGGGTTAGGGTTTGGGTTATGGGTGCTCTGGTTTCTAACACAACCTTGCTAGGTTTCTCGGTGTTTCCAATCTGCCTCTATTGCAGTGTGTTGCTTAGTGTCTGGTCCTGGGCGCAGCCCCACTTTGTGCCCTGTGTTTCCAGGGTGAGTCATGACCTTGCTGGGATGGGTGGCTTCTGCTAGTGGTTGGATATAATTTACAGATTATTTTGCTCTCTATAAGGACACACGTAAATGCACTCTTATTTCCCTTAATTCTGCTGTTGCTGTAACTTGTTTTCATCATTACTGTTGAGCTGTATGTTGTCCGCATCCGGTTAAGCACTCCTGGGTGGCCAGCTCTGTGTCTGACAGGGTTACTGGGTCTTGAAGTAGCAGAGTACTGTAGCTTCTCCACACCTCCTGCTCAGTGAAGGAGTCTCATCCTTCATTATGAATTATATGCTCCCATTTCCACAGTACGTATGATGATGACCAATTGATTGTAATTCTTAACCTGGGTAAATCTAAGAACAGCAATTATATTAATCCTAAAACACCAGATTTATCAAAGTGTCCTTGCACAAGTTCACTTAACATGATTAAGTGATACAATTAACCATTTACTTCTAAAGATCCTTAGCGTCTGGAACAAAACCCATTTTGCCTGTCACTTTGTCTGAGATCATCTGAGCCAGGAATCACCTCCAATTCTCCTTAGGGAGCTTAACTGGTAAGCAATTCCATGCTCCCTTTGACTTCTTAAACGATTAGGTGGCACATACTACACTACCATTAAATATTTTCTCATGATTCACATGAAGACCATGAAAAGAAGACGAGAAATCGGTTTAGGAAAGAAGAGCACTGACTTCGAAGCCACCATGTGAAAATGTAACGTGATAAATCATTTCTTTTGCTGAAGTTTTCTCCTAACAGAGTCATGGGACAGTTGATACTGTCACGGTCGCTACTCCCCCTCTTAAGGGCGCTCCAGCCCTTCCTTGTTCTGCCCCATTACCTGCACCTGTTTTAGCTCTCGCCCCACCTTAAAAGCCAGGCGCATAGGGCCCGGAAAGAACTGTTCCTGACAAATGCATGATGTACATGGCAGGCGCGTTCCTGAAAGATGCTACGTACCTCATAAATGAGGAAAATAAAAACGATTTATGATTTATGCATATAAACAGGTGGGGGATGTGTTCCAGAGGGAACTCCCAAATAAAAACAAGTTTACATTTTTATTCATGTCAAATGTTTATATATTTGCTCTACCAGAGTTAATTCTTAAAACTAAATGTTTGATAATGTCTTAATTTCATTCAGATCATGAAGGGGGTGACTCTGCTAGCAGTGCATGGTGAACGATAATCTGATAATCTGGGTTTTTTATTCTCTTACTCTTAAATCTTGTAAGTGTCATTACAAATCATTTTTCCTTATTTAGGCATTCAGAAGCTTATTAATTGTAGGCTGTTTCATTTATTTTATTTATTCAATATTAAGGTTGAAAATGTTGTTAGAGGTTTTTTAAATTAAACTAATGATGTTGTATTTACTGGTCCTTTACGCTGAAATTACCTTGCAAGTTTCTTTTTATATAGTAGCTTTGTTTCACATTTGAATTGAGATTGTATGCGATATAAACATACGGGACAGTCTAAGACAATAAGCCATGTTCTTGATTTGTTTTGAAAGAGTGAGAGGAAGCGAGTGACAGGAAGGAGACTGAGACAGGGGTCAGACAGCTGCCTGTGTGCCACCCAAGCGTATGAAGTCTTTAACACCCCATTAAATTGCCCATCGCTGGCAGTGACAAAGCATGCTAAAGTGAGAAATAATACATTTAGAAGGAGTACATATTCTTTAAGAGCCTTTTGGTTTTGATCACCAAAAATGTGGAAATCGAGAGTGCATAAATGGAAGACTTCCTTTGTGGCACAAGGCATGGAGAGGAGCTGACAGCACCAGTCCATCACAGGGCCACTGTCCAAGAAAGAGGCTGCTTGGGTTACCTAACTGCAGCACCGAGTTTTCGTTTTCTATTGCCGCTGACAAGGACAGCATTACGTCACAGCATCATAAGACAATCGGCTCAAGAAAACCTTTCCTTCATTGCCCCAGATGTGATTTCCTTAAACTGAAGGCAGAATTTGGAGAACCACTACTTTAGACCACTTTAGAACAGCTGAACAGGTCATAACATACGAACACAAGAAAAATGACAGAACGGCCTGAGACCACTCTGGCCATCTAGTCCTGCTGGTAGTTACAGTAGTAGTTCCTTGAGTTTTTTCTTGAAAGATGCCAGGGTATCGGCTTCCACAACATGGCTGGGTAGCTTGTTCCACCCTCCCACCACCCTTTGGGCAAAGAAGTACCTCCTGTTTTTGGTTTGAAATGCACTTCAACCCAGCAGGGCTTTGTGTCTTCGACATATGAAGCCAACATGTCTGTGTGAGGTAGGTGCATCTCCTTTTATTACATCCCCACTAAAAATAAATCACAGTGCTGTGCCAAACTATGATATCTAGTAAGGGATTTAACACAACTTTTGTGTGACCTCAGAATACTCCCTGTGACTGCAGCATAGTAGCACCTCTCAGATAAAATTGGACCTTGTGCTTGAACAATTTACATGATAAAAAATGTTAACTGTGAAAACTGGCAAACCTGACATCCCTTGTGCTAAACACAAGCTAATCATCAGCTTTTATCTGTTCAAAGAGCACTTGTCAGGGTTCTGACTTGATGAAGAGCCACTTTACAAACTCTTCACCTGGCTGGTGACAGTGACCCCTTCCTTTCTTCCTGAAATTAAGCTCCTACAACGATGACACTAGAAGAAAGCTCTGTACCATTGCTTAACTGTTGCACTTTATGCATCTTTGTTTTCTCTTGATTTCATTTTGTGGGGAGTAGACAAACATTGCAGTTTCTACAAGAAACAAATGACCAGAACCGAGCCATTTGTGGAAAGTTGAGTAAAGCCAATAGCAACAAGTCCACTGGATTCTGGACACTTCACGCCCTCATAACTTTTTCTTACGAGCTTTTCAAGTACAATATTTTTGACTTTTTGGTGGAGGCTTGGAGTAAATTTTTCCATTTAAACTTGAAAGAGTAAACCAAGACACTGAATTAAACAAGCATAAAAAGTCCACGAAAAGTGACAAGATTGAATTATCTGAAAAATAGCTGGAAGGGCTAACAAAGTACAAGAGCATCACTGCACTTGTTGCACAGCACCTTAATTAATACATTCAGAAATTACAACATACGAATTTGAAGATTTAAAAGCGCAAAGTTCTTGAATACTAGCAAGACACTCCATTCCTCTTATGAGCTTCTGATTTCCTCACCTCTGCAAGCTGGAAGAGGGCAGATTTCCCAGGGTTTTTAGCAGCTTCTGCAGCTCCTGACTGGGTTGTGCTTGATGAGATCTGCTTAAAAAGGGAAGAGAAAAAGTGGTCAATCAGTCTTTATTATTAATGTGAAGCCTTTAGTGTGGAGAGACATCAGTACATTAAATCACCAGCCTGCAAGTCTTATTCCCGAGTATCATAGCTCTGGCGTTTCGTAAGCATCAGGCAAAGCTATTTAGAACGTGAAACTGATTCATTGAATGAGCTCTTCTGTATCATAATCAAGCATTTAAGTACACGGTGTGAATGTTACTCAAAGGACTCCTTACCTCAGCAAGCTGAAACAATGCTGACTTTCCACACTGCTTGTCTGAGTCTAGAGTCACTGAAGACGTGTTGGAAGAGATCTGTTATGAAGAAAGGATGAGAAAACTGACTATTTAACGCAACATTTAGTATGGTACAAAACTTACATCTGCATTTTTGTGTTGATTTATTCAAGAAAATAGAGTGTTTGCCAACATACCGGCAAAACAGTGCGTAATATGATTACCCGAGAGAACAAATGCATTTAATGCAATATTGTGTTAAACAAAAAAAGAAGAGCATAGTCGTCTATAAAAAGGCTCCTTGGGTTACTGAACTATAGCAGAACAGTTTTAGTTTCCAATTGCTTGCTGACAAGCACAGCGTAAAATAATAGCACCATAAGACAATGGTTTCAAGAAAACCTTTCCCTCATTGTCCCTGAATTCTGATTTCCTTAAACTGAAGGCATAATTTGGAAAGGTTCATCTCTGCTTATGATTGGGCCCCCTATCTTACACTGTAACTTTTAACTGTGGTTCCAGCCATTTTCAGCTGATGAAAGGCCATATTAATGTGCAGAGGCATGACTCCTGGCTGCTTATTGTTTTAAATCAACCCCCTGTGGTCCACGCTCGTGACACAAACATTGTGTGCTGGAGTAATTAGGATCAATTTGTGGTGAGTTAATGGAATTTGCAGAGGATTACTTAAACATGTGCCCATGACATTTTCAAAGCACACGGTATCTACTGCCACTGTTCAGTAATGAATCCTTGCAATGTTCCCTTTAACTGCACAGGCCCGAGATTCTCCCCACTTTCGTGAACTAGAATGCACATCACGGTGATTTGTGCTTATTCACTAAAGTGCAGCTGGGCACAGAATCGTCTCTCTTCAGCATGTTATAAATCAGTGCACCTGGCAGGAAGCCCTGGATGGGCTCTGTACAGCAGAAGGCAGCTTCATCACTGCTCTCTGTCTCTGAGCAGTGCAGGGCTCTTCAAGTATCACACACACACTCGTATCCGAGTCACACCTCAAAAAATGTGGTGCACACTGCTGCAGACTGTCACAACTGTCTCTGTAGACGATCTGCAGACACGCAGATCTGCGGACGCTCATACACAGAGAGGTAGTTCTATCCAGGAAATCCGATCAAGGCTATGGCCGTCGCTAGGGGGGTGGCATTAGGGGGCAGTAACCCCGGATGTGGGCTAACGTGCCCCCCAAAAAGAATTTTCTAATGAAGTGGAAAAAATGTTTTCGTTTACTTTTTTTAGAAGTACTGGAAAATATCGATGTAACTAATCTAACGTTTCAATCAAATTTACTTTTTCTGTCACGACGAACGAAAAAAACGTACCTAAGCCCTGTGTCCCATCTGAGGTTTCAGTACGGGATTTAGAATACAACACACAAGGGGGTTTTGTAGCCAGAAATTGTTTAATCTCATTTCGTTAATCAGAAAGCGAGGCTCTCAGTAGTCTAAATAATGGATATAAGAAAATGGTTAAAGGACCATCTTCAGTCACCACCCAAGGGGTGGCTCGTAACAGGGAAAAGAAAATGGAGCAGAAGTGAGGGAAGCAGATAGGTGCTCGACGTCGACAGCAACAGAAGAGCACACGCTAATTCCAGCCGGGCTAATTTTGCTATTAAAGACAGAACCGGCTTAACCAATAAAGACTCCTGTCCGGTCATTGGTGGAGGTCATTGGTGGAGCGCAGCCCCCCGACGACCTAGGGATGGACAAACCCAACCAGGCCGCTCCATGTCGATGCCCTGTCTGTCTGTTTCAGGGTAAGAATCGCTCTCCCTGAACGCAGACACAGCTCAAGACAGAAAAAATTGTTACCGTGTATCTGCCGAGTCACGTGTCTCACTCTGGCGCTCAAACCTGCCTCCCTCCACCTGGGTTAAAACCAAATGCCCACCCCTTCAAATTCTTGTGGCGACGGCCCTGCCCCTACTCCACCTGCTCTGTCCTGTACACCTCCTCTTTGCTTTTGTCACAGGTACACGGATAAATACAGTGATACATTGTTATTATTGCCATTCTGATACACTGTTATTATTGCCATTCTGATACACTGTTATTATTGCTATTTTATTAGTTTTATTGGGAAAAACTAAGGTTGCTGCTGGAAGAGGTGTTAGTGGGGCCAGCAGGGGG